CCATGATCCCTAAAGCAAAGACCCAGAGCTGATCCTGGGACCAGTTCCCACAGCCTGGCCCTGGATGGGTCAATCTGGGCTGGCAGGAGGGAGCGGCAGGCTGCCGCAGGCTAGGGAGGAAGTGGGGAGCTCCCTGGCTGGGAGGACAGTGAACTGTAACCGGGAAGATGCTAAGTGGAGGCAGTGGCCGGACGGCCAGGGTCGTGAAGGACAAGGCGGCCCAGGGCAACATCTGTTTCCGTTCCCAGCCAGGAATGGAGCCAGTGGGGAGGCTTTTCTCACTCCCTGCTCCCCCACCTCCCCCTTCTTAACCCCAACCCCATGCCTGCTGCCTTTGCTGAACACAGCAAGGGAGCCGCAGTGGTAAGGCGCTGCTCCAGGGCACATCGAGGGGCTGGTGTGTCGGAGCTCCGTCCGTCCGTCCGTCCGTCCGTCCGTCCGTCCATCTTTTGGCTCTCAGCTCAGAGAGATTAGAGGCTAGCCAGAGGTCCTACAGCAATGTGCTTGGACCAAGGTCTGAGTTCCCAACCGACAGCTGCTAACATGTTTGAATGTCTCTTCATATCTGAAGGAGAGGGACTAGGGATTCGCCACAGAACCTAGACATGGTGGCACATATCTGTAATCTCAGGAGGTGGGGGCAGGAGGATCAGAAATTCCAGGGCTGCTGAGATGGCTCTCTGGATAAAAGTACTTGCTTCCAAGTCTGATGACCTGAGTCCACTCCAGGGGACCCACATGGTGAACTCTTGAAAGGCTGCCTTCTGACCTCCACACCAATGCCATGGTGCCCCTCTCCAAAAAATAAATAAGTGTAATTTTAAAGAAAGTTCAAAGGTCATCCTCAGCTCTATAGGAAGTTCAAGTCTAGCTGGAGGCTGCATGAGACCCTTTCTCAAAAACAATTATTTCTAAAAGAAAAAAAAAAGAATTCGATGTAGCTTTGGTTAAAGCTGGTCTTCTATCAATGCACCAGGGGAAAAATGTTGTTAAGTGTATTTTTAATACAGGAAGGGCTCCCAGCGGCAAGCCAGTCTCGATCTGGCAAAACAATGGCTCTGTATGGCGCCGCCCAACCACTTGGGTACACCCAGCCAGGGCTGTGGTCCCTGCCTGCATCCTCTTTGCCCTCCCCACACTCCAGGCCCTTGAAATCTGGAGCTGAGATCTCCCCTCCCCCTGCCCCCAAGCCCAGCCTCCTGGGGCCTCTGGCCTCAGCCCAGCATCTCCTCAAGTGCCTTGACCTCCCATGGTCACGCGGCACAGCAGTTTTAAGCACAGGCTGTGGTCCCCATCTGATCCCCATTCTGCCTCTCTGCTGCACCCTCCTTCCAGTCCTTTTCATTCCTGACCCCCAACCTCCTTTGCAGGATGGAGACAGTATGACCACGTACCTGTCACTGTCGCTACAGTGACTGTGAGACTAGTCCTCTCCCTTCGAGACACAGCCTCATTCTGTAGCTCTAGCGGATCTCTAGCTTGTAATCCTCCTGCCTCAGTCTCCTAGAGGCTGTGACGGCAGTTGTATGCCACTATGCCTAACTTTAAATGAGTGACTCATTTTAACACACCAGGTGTTAACCTAAAATGCTGACCCTGAAGGCCATTGTCCAAGCCTTCGGAGCTGGGCCTGACATCGATATGTTTATCAGAACTGTGGGCTGATATCTGAGTCTTCCACTTGGTCTTAAGCCCCAGAGACACAGAGGTGGGGCTTGGGCCACTGTCCCTGGTGTTCTTAGGCCTGACCTAGGTAGATATTCAAAGGCTTGAATGAATGAATGAATGAATGAATGAATGAATGATCTCCACATGTCCTACGCCATGTTCTCTGTACTGGAAGTCATTCACACTGTGGTACGAGGTATGAGTCAGTACCACTTTTGCCTGGTCTGATCAGCATGCTTGAAACTGTTCTGCCTCCCTAGAGGACTCTGACCCTTAGCAATCACTGTATCCTCTGCCTCCTGGCCGTGAGTCCCCAAGCATAGCGCTCTGTGTTTTAAAGGTGCAAGTTTTCTCCTTTTTCTGTGGTAGAGACAACCCCCAGGGTTCCCTGGAGGAAGCCTCACCCCCCAAGTCTGCAGGAAGGTGCCTCAAAGGTCAGAGACTTCACAGGGGGACATCCCACTGGGCTGGGGTCAAGTTCAGGTTGCCTGGGTCACATACACTGGAAAGGCCTCTGCAGCTTGGGACATCAAGTTCTGAGTCGTGACAGGAAGCTGGGAAGGGGGCTGGCCCTGACCTCACGGTGGGATGCAGGGCCCTTCTGGAAACATCCAGTGGCTGTCATCCTGCGGCCACATCAAGTCCCTGATCAAAAGAGAAACTGGCTCCCTAGGCAGATTTGTTCTGTTTGCTTCTTGGGTCTTTTCCTTCCACAGAAAGCAGTCCGTGTGGCTCTGTCCCCTGAGCAGTGGCCCCTCTTGTCCTGAAGCCTCTGCAGGGTCCTTTTGTAACTTACCACTGTGAAGACTTAACTGTGAGCCACGGTTCAGAGACTCTGAATACCACTGTGGGACAGGAGTCTCAACCCAAGAACGTTTATTGAGCACCTAATGTTATATGTCTGGCCCTTCGGTGTTAGCTAGGGGACAGAACGTTAGTTTAGTCACACCTTGGGACTTCAGACTGCAGGCCTAGTTTTGGGGACACCTGCCACTAAATCTGAGGGACAGGAAGAATCTTTGTGGCTGAGAGGATTCAGTTTACCCAACAGCAGCATGCACTTGCTGGGGTCCAGGCCAGATGCTGAGAGCTGCTGGGGGAGATGCAGACAAGGTCTTGGTGAGCCCAGGTCGGGTTCCCGCCTCCTCTCCCCAGTGTGACACACGGCCACACACGTTGAGCAGCTTGTGGCAACCTGATCCAGCTGCCTCACCGCACCGGGGCTCAACTCTAGATGCTGGCAGTGGGTAGCGGGGTCCCAAATCTTCTCTTCACTTCCCTTTTAGTTTTTGCATGCTTGGCGGCTAGACACAGAGAGCTGGTTCTTAGAAAAATGACCCAATGCATTCGGTCTCTTAGAATTCAGAACTGGGGCCTGAGGTGGAGGGGGGAGTTGTAGGGGCGGATCTCACAGTGAGATCAAGGTTTGGATCAGGGCTACGTGAGGGAAGGCCGGTGTTAGAGGTCGGTGAGATGTCACAGAGGAGTGACTGAATTTCCTAGTAGCCATGTGTGACCATACAAGGAAGGAAGAGGATGGGGGGGGGGGAGATTGGAGCAGGGGAGACGTCAGACACAGTCATGGTTCCGTTTGACCCGGTGGAACAATTTTCAGTGCAACCACAGTCAAATGCCAAGGAAATACCCGCTTCCCACCAGTTTTCAAAGCGCTTTGGGGCCATTGTGGGAGCTGAGGTGAATGGCTTGGCTGGTGAAATAAACGCTTCCCTGAGTTTGATCCCCAGGGCACACACAAAGAGGAGGGTGTGGTGGTGTGTGCTCATAACCCCAGCGCTGAGGAAGCCAAGACAGAAGGGTCCCTGGTGATCACTGGCTGGCCAGCCCAGCCATCTTGGAGAATTCCCAGTCAGTGAGGAACACTCTAAAAACAAAGTGAATGGTTAGTGCCCGAGGAATGTGAGTGAGGTTGTCCTCTGGCCTGCACACGCGCGGGGACACACACACACACACACACACACACACACACACACACACACACACACGCCCGCGCGTGTGCATTGTTGGCACATGTCATCGGCTTTAGGACAGTCCTCATTTGGGGCTACCATATGGCACATTCTTTGTGGTCCTGTGACTGTGTCTTGCATGGCACAGGTGCAGGAAAACGGGAAGGGGACCCCAGCTGCACCTGGTGCAGCTGGGGTCCCCAGTATTCACCTGCTGCTCATGAGCACAGCCTTACCTATCTGTGACTCCAGAGTAGACAAAGAAGCCAAGAAGATTGGGGAAAACCCACCAGGTGGAGCTGGCTGTCTAGTTCAGAAGACAGAGGGTCAGCACTCCAGTCTGTGTAGATGTGTCCAGCGGTGGCGGCATGAGAGGCCCTATCGGGAGCCACACTGGGAAAGCAGGTCCTGGCAGAGGGACCTGTGGGACCGGAGGGAGAGCTCTGACAGGGACCTGCTGGGAGGAAAAGGCTTCCTGGGGGGAAACTAGGAGACCGGGCACAGCAAAGACAAGGGAGGTCAGGAGGGCCTCACAGAGCATCATCCCAGCTCAGGCAGAAGCCGGGCCACCCACGGAGAGACCCAGGAACTGGGCCAAGAGCCTGCTGTCCAAGAATGTAGTGTAGGCACATGTGGAGAAGGAAGGGGAATGGGGGCTGGGAGCTGCTTTAAGGGCCCCAGGTCCCAGGTGCTTCTGGTAGTGGGTGAGAGGATGGACCCACCTTCGTGGGCACCCTGGCTGTCGATGCCACCCTGCCTCACAGGCTGTGCCCCAGGGCCCTCTCATAGGTGGCAGAACTGAGGCTTCTGCATGGTGTCCTGGGGCCCCGCCCCACCCCCCGAAAGTGCCACTGGGGCTGCAGGGAGAGCTGGCCCCTCCTCCTTCAGTGGAGCCCCTCAGGAGGGCCTCTGGGCCTGGCATCACACCTGCACCCCACACTGTTGCCTGATGTCAGAGCAAGCATGGAACCTCCCTCCACCTCTGCGTTTCCCATCTGAGAAATGGGCATCCAAACTGCATCTCCCTCTGCATGTGCAGACAGGCAGGCATATTGGTGATGGGCTAGGCACTGTGAGCGGTTCCTGCATCGGGGCCCTCAGTGCAGACGGATGAAGGCGCTTGACTGTGCAGTTCCACTCTCTGTCCCACAACCACATCAGAGCTCCTTCTCCCAGAGAGAAGGACGTGATCTGCCTCCCTATACCAGGGCCACAGGCTCCTGAGGTCCCCTGCCCCCGCCCTGCAGTACCCCCAAAAGCAGTTCCTGGGGCAGACAGTCACCGGCCGGCCCATGCTGAGAGCAGCCGCCGCCACCAGCAGCCCAGCCCAGCCCAGCCCAGCCCAGCCCGAGGCAGCAACAGCATGCTGGCTAGAGAGGAGTGGCAGCCACGTCTCCGCCGGTGCCCCCTCCTCCCTCTGCCCAGCCGCTGTTCGAGCTGAGCTGTCCAGCTTGCAGCCACCCTCATCCCCGGAGCCACAGGGTGGGCTAAAAATAACCCGAAGACCAGCCATCATCCAGGGTGCAGGTGCTGGCCGAGGACACAGGATCCCAGGGACCCCGTGTGGAGGACCAGGCAGAGCACTTCTGTCCCTCACTCTGGCCCCACCCAGGCTCTCGTCCCTCCTCCCTGTTAACCCCTTTTGCCTCCTCTCCCGGGAGGGCCTGAGGAGGTCACTTGTCCTGGAGGAAACTCTGCCACCAGCCTCAAGATGGGCCGCTGCAGCAGGAAGGTCCTTCAGGCTCTGAGTTTCCTGTGGCTGCTGGGTGCCAGCTCTGCCCAGGGCACCTGGGAGGCAATGCTGTCGGCCAGGCTGGCCGAGAAGTCCCGAGTAAGTGCCGGGATGGGTCGAGGGGCCTCTGGGGGTGGGGGGTGGCCCAGGGGACACAGGTCCTCAGATGCTGTGGTTTCTCAGCAGTGTGGGAGTCTCCTCTAGCTGAGCTGTAGCGAGTGGTAGGCAGAGGGGACTCGGTGCCCTCCCGAGGACACCCTCCTGCCAGCAAGGAGTCAAGAGACACGTCTGCCCCACAGGGAGGCTTTGCTTTTGAAGCTTAACTGAAGCATCCTTCTTCCTGGAAAGCAGAATCTAGGCGTTTGGTGTCTCCCCCCTCCTACCCCCACCCCCGCCCGGACTCCCTGGCCCCCACCCCCCAGTGTCTGAAGCCTGGCCACGGTGCCTTACTCAGGCAGGAACCACTTAGTGGGAAGTATGCTGGCAAAGCTCTATATGGCAACCTGCAGGTACAAGCTGAGGAGACCCGCTCACCTTGAGGGTGAAGCAGACAGCCTGGAGACAAATAACCGCGAAATCTAGGAAAGTTCTGAGGAGAAAGCCAATGAGACCTCGGTGGGAAAGCCTCAGTGGGGCCCTGAGGCTGAGTCTAAGTGAGGGCTGGTCTTTGGCTGTGTGACTTCAGGCACGTTGTTTGACCTCTCTGGACACCAACAATCTCCTCTGCAAAAGACAGAGTGATGTGTTCCTCTCAGCAAATATGTAGAGATGTGTGTGTGTGTGTGTGTGTGTGCGTGTGCGTATGTGTGTGATATACATGTATGTGTGTTTACAGGTGTGTGCAATGTATGTGTGTGCATATACATGTGTGTGCAGATGCCTATGGAGGCTGGCAATTGGCGTCAGTTGTTTACCACGATTACTCCATTTTGTTTCCTAAGGCAAGGTCTCTCACTGAAGCCAGAGTTCACTAGGTGGGCTAGTCTAGCCGGCCACCTTGGCCTGACATCAGGCCTGCCTCCCGAGCCCTGGGCTACAAGTGTCTGCCGCTCCTGCCAGCTCTTACTTGCGTTCTGGATGTGGCAACTCCAGCCCCATGCTTTCATGGCAGGTGCGTTATCCACGGAGGCATCCCCCAGCTCTAGTGTTCTGATGGCCTCTGTTTGGCAGGCACTGTCCTGGGTGGGGGGACTCGTCTGCCCGCTGCCTGCCTGGGGCGTCTACACAGCAGCGTGGCCAGCAGAGCATGAATGAGGGGAAGGAAGCCCTGGGGTGTGTTAGCTTTTGAGCACTGAGGAGACAGATAACGAAGGAAGGGCTGGGGTGGGTAAAAGGGGGCACCCTCCAAAGGAGCACAGGTCAGGGGGACAGCACCCTCCACACACCTGAGCAGATGTGTGGCTCGGAGTGCAGAAAGCGCTCAGGACTCAGAACGCCTGGGGTGTCTCACCGGCTTCAAATCAAAGAATGGTGAAGGGCCAATGCGTGGCTCCTGGGAGGAAGGCAGCCTCCTGGGGCTGGGGCTGCTGGACTCCCCGCCGGGTTCCGGCCGTCAAGTCAGCACCTGGAACATTCTTGTGCATGACTTGCAAACAAGTGCGATGGGAACAGAAGAGTCAGCTTGTTCAGCCCTGCCCAGGAGCAACAGGAGGGTTCTGGGGTTGGAGACATTTAACGTGGGGCTTTGAAGGGCAAATATGAATTTGCCAGATCAAGAAGCCTGGAGCTGGGGTATTAATCTGTACTGAGGCTGATCTGGGCTGAAGATCAACACCCTCGGCTGGCTGGATGTTCTTAGCAAGAGACAGGAAGTCACCGGAAGGGAGTCAGGGAGCAAAGTAGTTGGAGATGAAGTTCATATGAGACATGAACAACCACCAAAGGCTTCCTGGAAGAGGTGGCTATCCTGAAGGGAGCCTGAGGAAGGATTAAGAATTGGGAAGAGCCGGGCGGTGGTGGCGCATGCCTTTAATCCCAGCATTCGGGAGGCAGAGGCAGGCGGATCTCTGTGAGTTCGAGGCCAGCCTGGGCTACCAAGTGAGTTCCAGGAAAGGCGCAAAGCTATACAGAGAAACCCTGTCTCGAAAAACCAAAAAAAAAAAAAGAATTGGGAAGAAAGGGAACATTCCTGGAAGGCTCAGCATGAGCTGAAGATCAGAGGCCAGAGGCCATCTAGAGGGGGGTCAGGGTGGGAGGAAGGCCAGCGGGAGGGGATGAGCTCTGAGGAAAAAGGCTTTTTCTGCTCTTCCCAGATCCAAGCTCTTTGTATCTTGCACTGCCCTTGGACACAACCCCTGGGCTTTGCATTATCCGCAGACATGGGCCCCTCCCTGCTGCTCAGACAGGCATAGGTGATAGAGTGAAAAAAAGTGGGGGGAGAGAAGATACCCTGGGGAAGGCCAGGCTGTGACTCAGAGGCTCGGCTTAGAAGTCCTCATGCACAGACCTCTCAAGAGCTGTGCAGCCTCGGGCCACTCGCTGCCCCTCTCTGGGTTTCAGGCTATCCTTCAACCTGAGCGTAACCAGGAGAGATGTGGCCCACATGTGCTTAGAGGCAAGACGCTCCCATAGCCTCGCTCTCCTCACGCAGCTTGGTGCTGACCCTTGATGGCTGTGGGCTGGTCAGGGCTGGGGACCCCATCTGCAGGTATCTGGAGCAGACTTAGCCCTAAGGGAAGCCATTTTTTATTGAGAACAGAGTGAGTCACAGTTAAATGTTAACTCCAGTATATCTATGACGGATAATTCATTATAGCCTGGTCTGGAATGTTCTCTAAAGACTTGTGTGTTGAAGGTCTGGTCCCTAACATAGTAATGTTAAGAGAAGGGGCCCGTGGGAGGTGATTGACAGGTCAGCGCTCTGGGGACTGGATGGGTTATTCCCCTCATGGGCTTATACCTGGATAGACAGTCAGGACACTAGCGTGGCCTGAGAACTTGAGGGGGTGGGGTCTGGTGGAGGAAGTAGCTCACTGGGGTTGTGAATTTGAAGGGATCATCTGTCCCTGCCCTTTCCTCTCCACTGTCTCCCCACTTTCCTGACAGCATTAAGAGTGAGACCTCAGAAATCCTGAGCCCAAAGGCGCCTTCCTCCCTCCAGGTGACTTGCGCAGGTATTTGGTTACAGTGCCCGAACGGAATGCCTACCTGCTCACAGTTGGGAGGGGCACTCAGAGGGCTTGGCTATTTTATTGTCCTCACTGCCTCTGTGGACTTGTGGGGGGGTAATGAGGTGATGCTGTTTATTTCTCCTCTCCGCATGGCCTGGAGTCAGCCACACTAGAGTGGACAGCCCAGGTCACAGAGGTGAGATTTTTTTTTTTTTTTTTTGGTTTTTTGAGACAGGGTTTCTCTGTGTAGCTTTGCGCCTTTCCTGGAACTCACTTGGTAGCCCAGGCTGGCCTCGAACTCACAGATATCTGCCTGCCTTTGCCTCCCGAGTGCTGGGATTAAAGGCGTGTGCCACCACCGCCCGGCCGGTGAGATGTTTTTTAAACCCTGCCAGGCCATGGCTGGCCACATCCTTGCCCTGGTTCTTCTCACCTCTGAGCTTCTCACCTCCACCTTCAGTGGAGTGGCTTGTATATGGGGACTGGATTTCCCCAGACCAAGGCCTGTTCATTTCCTGAGTGACTCCCAGGAGGGGAGAGACAGGAACACTAACCCTGTCTTCCCATGAGAAGCCCTAAAAAAAAAACCTAGGGATGCTGGGTGGTGGTGGCACACACCTTTAATCCCAGCACTCGGGAGGCAGAGGCAGGCAGATTTCTGAGTTCGAAGCCATCCTGGTCTACAGAGCGAGTTCTAGGACAGCCAGGGCTACACAGAGAAACCCTGTCTCGAAAAAGAAAAAAAAAGAAAGCCTAGGGTTGTCGTCTGTCTGAACTTCAGTTTCCACATCTGCAGTGTGGCATCCAACAGCAGGTGCTTTGTGGGTTCAAGAAAAGACCAGAGTTGAGGCTGGAGAGGTGCCTCAGAGGTTAAGAGCGCTGGCTGCTCTTCCAGAGGATCTGGCTTCAAGTCCCAGCACTCTCATTATGGTGGCTCATAACTGAATGACTCCAGTTCCAGGGGATCCGACGCCCTCGTCTGGCCTCTGCAGGCACCACCAAGCACACACTGGTTCACAGACATACATGTAGGTGAAATACACATAAAAATACCCAGATCTTTGCTCTGTGCCTGGTACCACTTTGTATGTGCACACACACACACGCACAAACACACCTACACACATTCATGCATACATCTGTGTGTGTTTGCATATGTATGTATACGTTTGAGTGTATGTATGTGCAGGGATGTATGTGTAACTATTATGGGTGTATGCTTGCATACATGTGTATACATATATATGCACATATGCATATGTATGTTTGGAGTGTGTGTGTGTGTGTGTGTGTGTGTGTGTGTGTGTGTAACCTATGAAGGTACCTGGAGCCCACGACAGCTGGGACTGAGGGCAATGGCCGTCACAGAGGCCGTCACCAGACATTCGTCATCTCAGCCTCTCCTCTCTCCCTGGAGCCCACCTCCCGTGCTTGCTTTCGGGGTATCTTGGCTGTACTCTTCACTCCTGTGGTTCTTATCAACAAGATTTGTTTACTTTTTCACTGGCTGCTTTTGTAGAAGACAAAAGAAGCAGAGGGTTTGCTCCAGGGTGGGTCTCACTTGCTTAGTGTCAGGGGGAGGGTCCGCCCACGTCTGGAACTCAGCCGAGAGAAGACAGGGCGGTGTCTTGGGGTCCAGCCCAGAACTCCTCAGATCTAACTGAGAGCCCAGCACATACAGGCTCAGGCAGAGGATGCCCATGTCACCCAGAGCATAAAGGAAGCCATGGAAAGTTCTAGAGGGGCATCGTATGTGCAGTCGACAGCGAGCAACCCTGCTCCAGCTGAAGTCTTCGGAGCACCCCTCTGGGAAGGGCCTGCTGTGGAGGCCCAGTGCATCCTCACACTGAGCCCCAGCGCCGCGGGCCAGGGAGGTGCTTATTTTTAGATCTCTGACGTCTGAATTCCCGAGGAAGGGCAAGTGGGGCTCTGAGGAAAGTTGGCTTTCTTCCTCCACCACGCAAACCAGACCTGGAGGACATTTTTATT